CTCTCTCTCTTCAATCTCTCTCTCTCTATGGGTTGTCTGTATAGATCTAGATCTAGATCTAGATATATACAGACAACGCGTCCATTCTAGCTAGGGTGAAAGCTTTGCGAAATTTCAGAATTGTAATAGAGACTACACAAAACAAAATCCTGACACCTTCAATGGGGCTTCCTGCAAGACAAGCATATACAACTAAAATCTTTTCTGAATCGACCCCACCTTTTAGAAAGGGTGGATATTTAGGCAAGGTGTTTGGCCTGAAGGGATGCGGTATGTTCACCTCCCTCCCTCATCTTCTGAGTATCCTGCAGCTTCTACCATCAGGTTCACTTGGGATGTACAAATGATGATGAAAAAGTGGAAGGAACTACTCCGAAAGAGGGTCTACAAAGCTCATATATGTACACAGAGGATAATGAACAGGAAATGATAATGCCTAAGATGGCCACTTATTCAGGTACAGGGTACTATCACATAACTTCCCATGATGGAGTGGGTGCTAAAATAATGATGATATTGATAATAATCATTTTAAAAATATATGCACTTTAAACATGGCCAAACATGGACACGATTTTGACATTCTCATTGAAAACTTGTTAAGATTTTTTGTCACACCAACATCTTATATGATTTGGGCCATTTTTGTTCTGTTTTTGTTTTTAATCCATTTTTATTTGTTTATGGGATCGCATGGACCCAATTTTTCCAGGAGGACTTTTCTTACTCATTACTGTTACTGTTTACTAGCTAAGTGAAGCCTCCTTAGTGTAGATATCAGATATCTTCAACAGTTACCAGGTTGGGAAAAGCATCTACATTTACATTTGGCTCAGGGTCTCCACAGACATCTCTGGGAGAAGAGACGACAATCTAATTTTGCCTTCTATTAACTGGTTCATTCTAGAGGTGTTATGACTAGAACTCCCATCATCCTCAGCCCAAAGGTTGTTACCAGAATGATAGGAGGTATAGTACAAGCCATCTAGAGGACACCAGGTTGGAGAAGTCTGCTTTAGATAACATAGGCCTTACACTTTGGCCTGAAGTGCAACAAGAGTCTTGAAGGAAAAATTATGTCCACAGTGATGCTGATGTATTTAAAAAAGGAGACCTAATTTGGGGCATTTATCAAAAAAATGGATTATCCTTTGGCCCAAGTCTATATAGGAGAAAGAAGAAACCACATAGAATGTAATCCAACTCACCGTAAATACCCTTTCTGGCTCTCCCTTGGCCCTCATGTTGACATCATGGACTTGCTTAAGGATCATCCATGCTTCATCGTGCTTACCAATCTAGAAAAATCACAGGAGAGGAAGTCAGAAGTCCCATATTGCATACCATCCTCACCCAACCTAGCACCTTCCATATGTGATGAGACTGCAACTCCAGAAGTCCACAGCTGAGGGAGCACTGTTGTGGATGGAAATGCTTCTATCCCCGAATGAACAAGTTTTTACTTAATCAGCATTCTCTCCCCCCACCTAAGGACTTTATGGAAAGCGGCTACTTCCAGAGAACACAAAGGGGAAAAAAGGTTGAAGAATCCTGGTTCCCTGGGGGTATCATGTGTCCCTTTTTTCTGTGAGTATGATCTGAGATCTAGGACTGTTTGCATTTCCAAGAAATGTGGGCAATTCCAACCATTTTTTTTAATGGGAGAGAGAAAGGAAAAACGAATACTGTACAGGCATGAGAAATAATCATGTTAATCCTGCTTAATTTGCATTCATGTTAATTCTATCAATTGTATTTTAAATTAAATCAAGTTTAATCTGGGTTTCCCAGATTTGTTGGAAAGTGACAGTCAAAGGGCAAGTAGGACCCTCATCCTGAAGAAGTTGTACATATTGCTTTTGTGTAAATTCCACTCGTGCTGCCCTCCAAATAAATTCTCCCAATTCCTAGTATCCCCAGCCTTTGGACATAGTGGATGAGGATTCTTGGGAGCTGAAGTCCACCACATCTGGAGAGCTCACATCTGGCTTTGCGGCAGTTGCCTGAAACCAAAAGATTGTCCAGGGGTCCAGTCTAGCAGGGTATTGCTTATCTTCTTAAGTAAACAAATCCAATATCTTCACACCTACACACACAGCAGTGTAATAGCTCTTATAACAGGCACAGTGACTGGGTACTACATTTCACATTTTGTGGGAGTATGAGAGTTACAGTAAGGAGGAAGATGATATAATTGAATGAGACCAGGTCACCAAGGGTGCAGACCAGGAATATTGTGGGTGGGGGAGATCAAAGAAGTCAAAATGGCGGCTGCAACTGTACGATTAAAGCCCTGCCCCTTTTTTACAGGTGTAGGGCTTTGATTGCACAGTCATACCATGAGTTTCACTTCTTTGACCCTACTCCCCTCTATCCCCCAGATACCAATGATGTGTACAGAATTTTCCATATTTTCCTGGTTGGAAGTACTAGAGTGTTGGAGTCTAGTGTGTTTGTAGTCTGATTATTTTTCTTCTATGTTAAGCCTGTTTCCAGTCTTCCAGCCTAACTGTGTAGTGCTTCCAGCCTCAAAACAGTGTGAAAACATGCTGCTGCTGTTTAGCAAATGTAGCCCCAAGTGGGTTGGGGTCTGTGCCAAAAAAAAAAAAGGCGGGGGATTCAGAGTGATCCTGTGGTTGCCCACTCTACGTAACATAAAATATGTGTGTTTCCTTTTCCAGATCAGATTGCTTACCTCTAACAAAAAACGTGGGCTTTCTGGCATGAATTTCAGGGCCACAAGTGACGCTATGCAAGGGAGGGAACAGACCACCACGAAAACCCTCCAGCTGTGGAAGTGGTAATGGCTCCCCATGCTGAACCCCCATCCTGTAAGGGAGAAAGAGGATAGGTAGAATACAATAGATCAATGCTGGTACAGATGTAAGACATTCCAAGTTTCAGGTTCAGGGAGATGATGATGATGATGAGAGAGAGAGAGACAGAGGGAGACAGAGAGACAGATGGCTGGATGGCTGGATGGCTGGATGGCTGGATGGCTGGATGGCTGGATGGCTGGATGGCTGGATGGCTGGATGGCTGGATGGCTGGATGGCTGGATGGCTGGATGGCTGGATGGCTGGATGGCTGGATGGCTGGATGGCTGGATGGCTGGATGGCTGGATGGCTGGATGGCTGGCTGGCTGGCTGGCTGGCTGGATGGAGATAGACAGATGGACAGATGGAGGATGATGGATGGATGGACAGATGGAGGATGGATGGATGGATAAATGATAGATAGATAGAGATAGAGATGATAGACAAATAGAGAGAGAGACAAGAGAGAGAGAGAGAGAAATGAGGTGGATGGATGGATGGATGGATGGATGGATGGATGGATGGATGGATGGATGGATGGA